ATTATAAACTCCTATCTCTTCATACCACAGAAAAAGCAAGAGTCTTTAGAAGCAAAGCTGCAAGACATGAACAGAGATGTAGATTTGGATGACACACTAGTAGATGAAGAGGATGATGAACCAACCAAGTCAAGGCCGGCAGCGGGAAGGGTTAGCAAGAAAGAAGCATTGCTGTTAGAAGACCTCGAGCCYAAGGGAGTGTCTGCCTTCAAGGTATGAATAAACAACTACAACTCGTATTCAGCATTAAAGGACAAAATKACAAATRAAATAGCTGGCACAGGATTTTCAAACTACAGTCGATAAATTAAAATATATAACCGCTACGCTMACTAGACAATTTTGTTTTGTTTATGAACGTATATTTGTATTTTKCAGAGAGATAACCGCGAGCCGAACAAACTTGGCAAGACCCAGAGGAAAGGCCCGATATCGCTAACCACCAACACTGACTCCGATATGTCCGATTCGCCTGGCGAGATTTCACCGCGCGCTCACTCRAGGAACTCTGCTGYAAACAAACATATAACRCAACAACAGACGAAGGGATTGGCCTCGAAACCTTATCACGTTGGTTAGTTATCTTTGTATGCATGTATATTTTCTTGATGATTGAAATTTTCGTTTGGGTATTTTGCAGTTGTTATTTTGTTCGTGTTTATTTACTGTTGTTGTTGTTAGGTATTTTGCCTTTTCACTTGGTAGTTTTCTTTTAAAATTCATGGTTGCTTTCRCAGTTCGTTTTTACCTCTCTCCAGTTCGTTCTTTTATTTTGTGTTGTCTTTAGTCTATTGTCAGGTTGTTCAAAATGTTCACAGTTTACTATTTTTGTACAGATTTGTCTTCTGACGAGAGCACTGAAGATGAATTACAACAAAACTTGTTAGTCTTACAAAAACAAGCTGAATATCGTAATGCGTAAGTTTCTGGATAATTCTTTTTGAATCATAATTATAGAAAATGCGCAGCAATTATGATAGCCTTGGTTTAATCTTTCTCTCTCTCTAGGGATCTTAAGAAAAGGCTTGTCGCTGAGTGCGACGCCATTTCTAAAGCGAAGCGGTTTTTGAGACGTCATAAAAAGTCTGTTCAAAAGCGTCAAGTAAGTTTGTCGCTTGTTGAGATTAGTTGTGTTATYATATTTTGTTTTGTAACTTGTTTTGTTTAATTGAAAGGCTGCACTCGAGCGAGCTCGTAATGAATGGAAGCATGATGTAACTACGAATATTAATAGAGGAAAGGTAAAATAATTAAACGCGGTCAGTTTGAACCATAGCATGAGTTTCCCTGCTGTAGCGAGCTCAGTTAGAGCTGCAAAGTTGTATCTGAAAAGTCATGGGTTCGAATCCTACCGGGGACTTTTATCTGTATATTGATCATTATTATTTATAATATTGATCTATATGTTTAGCCTGTCTCGTCAAAGAACGCWACACTTCTCGAAGAYGTCAAGTCTAAACTTGAAGAGGTGAGGGTCGGTTCTATAAGGACTGTCAGTACTTTAGAGTGTGCGTGACTTGTCTAATTCGTTGCGTGATTTATGTGGAATTGCTTGCGTGACATCAGCTGTAACGTTAGCAAAGAGACACAGAGCCAGCACGAAAATAATCAAAGGGCTGGGTTTTTAATAGTTATTGTATTTGTGTTTACAGGAAGAAGCAGAACTGACCATCGTTGTTGATAACATGAACGCGGGGCAGGAATTGCTGAGGCARAAAGAGGAACGGTTAAAGATCCTAGAGAACGCTTTACTCGGTGGGCTGGTACGTACAACACAAACGATGACATTGCTGTTGAAAACTAAACGAATTTCCTTTTCCTGCGTTTTGTTTTCTTGCATCCCTCTTCAAAATTTTTGATTTACTGCCGCCTTTTCCTTTTAATCATACTTTTTTATTGGTTTGGCGTTTCTAGTCCACTACTGCATCCGAATCAGAAGATTTGCCCATGGACAAGTTTTATCGTAAATCTGTCGGACTTCCACGTGACAAATACCGACCACACCGAACCACACGACGACCGCACGACGACGAAGACTCGAGTGGCTTCAGCAGTAGCGACTATAGTGACGTTAGGGGRCGTGACGTCAGAATGCCACGAGGTTCTAAGAGCCTTCGTTTTGCTCCTAACCCTTCAAAGAGCCATAATATAGACGATGTTCAGTCTTCTCTGTCTACAATTAATACCGACCTGGCGAGGATTTTAACGCTGTTACAGTCACAGGCTTTACAACGACCCACGCAACATGTACAGTACGGAAATCCCGAACAACCAGTGTTTGCACAGACTGCGAGACCACCAAGCAGCGGTTATATGACAGCACCTATAGAGCATGCTCAGACTAGGTAAGTCAAGCTTCAATTGTCCCTTATTTCATTTTCTAATTTCCTCTACGATCAATTTTTTTTAGTCGTCCGGAGATGAACGGTTATCATCAGACACACTACAAGCCTCARGAATCAACAGAATCAGCGTTAGAGAGAAAGTGGCAGACATATTTTGGAGGTAAGCGTACATCAACTTTAAGGCCCGTTTMCACTTGCGATTGTCGCGCGATAATCGCCAGTTTGCTATCGCGCAACTAAAATCGTACGTGTAAACAACCCTGCGATTGTTGCGACGATRGAAAATCGCCGCGAAGTTGCAGCCAAAATTCAAGCATGTTCGAAACTCAGGCAATTGTCGCGCGACGATCGCGCTGCAAAAATCGCAAGTGGAAACGGGCCATTATAAATACATTCAACAACTTCATGATTCATGTTGCCAATAATAAAAGCAGAGGCAACTCGTACCCAGTCGTTACTCTTTTTTCGCTCCGTTCGAATGGATTGACGGGAAGGAGGGTGAATTTCCTCCCACCTTTCCTTGATGTATGGCACAGTTAGAGAAGAGACTGAGTTCGAGTCTGCAGTAGCAACGATACCTTATGACAATAAGTGCAACACCCAACTAACTTGATTAAGAGTTGTTCGTGTATTAATGAAGATGATGTGGTTATGTATAACAGGTCAAAGTCGTTCTTCTCCTGCCAGTCTTAGTTTAGGGGCAACATTACAAGGACACATAACAGCAAGGTTAGAAGAGTACATACTCGATACAAATGATAACGATGATGACATGATAGATGCATGTTTAACTATTTCATAGGGATACCAATGGCCCAGGTAACATGAAGGATAGACTAACAGACTGGACGTCAGAAGGACAGTTAAATGTTGCTGAGAGACTTCAGAACCACGCCGACTGGTTGAAAAACTTTAGACGTGAAATGGGTTTCGGTGACGGTCCTGCACAGTCTTCCCGTGGATCGATGGCTGCAACATCTCGATAGTATCCTTCATGATAATAATGATAATGATTTGATGTAGCGAAATAACTGAAATATTACGAGCGTTATAATTGGTGGCTGATCTGCCTTGCCTGTCAAGTGGTGCGCGCGTTAAAGATGTTTGCCATTTCCCGCCTTTTCATGTCTTTTTTTGTCGAAGACAGTAATTATCATATTAAACTAACGATAGTGTCAATAACCCAGTTAAAACYTTGACCTGTAAWTCCCAGCCCATCGCAGACGAAGAGTGCTCCAAGTCCATCAAACCTCTGGACAACCAACCCACGTGGTATGGGGATGACACATCGGCCTATGCGGCTCGAATTAGGAAAAAATAACGAAATACGCTACGTTTAGAATTCCATACTTTATCCACAGATATATAAACATCAACTCTTATTAGGCTAAAATAAAAAGTGAGTGATCTTTTTTTGCTCGAAGAACATTCTCTGCAAGTGTGRCGTTCAATTACAAATACAGTCGGATGTTTTAAACTTCATTATTACGGACATATAAGAAAGGAAATACTGTGTATGACAGGGCAGCCGTATGACAGCAAGCCAACTGCATTGTGTCCGTACTAAGGAGGTGTACGTAATTCAGAGGTATTCGTCGAGGTAACCATAAAAATGTTACATTAAAAAGCATACTTTTTGACACTACAGGAGCCACGCCCAAAATCGGATCAAACGAGATATATATAGTTATTTGAAAGAAATAAATCATAATGATCCAACACATCGTGAGCCATGCTTTATCACCGAGCAAAGTCATAATATTGTGAATATATTAGATTGTACTTCCTTTGAACTTGATTTGCAATAAACCTGTGAAATAGTTATCGTTTTGATTTACTTAAAAAACAACAGCAACAGAAATTCACGACAAGAAAATCTCGCATTAAAACGAGGAAGAGATGGCTTGCATTACATCCAATCATTCACAGCCATTGCAAGCTCAACCAATGTCTCGCTTTGATGCAAAGGCTCTGTTACTGTTCAAGATGGCGCTTTAAACTGTATAAATGGAGTGTATTGGATATGATTATAATCAGTTCTAACATTATATATCGATACAGGGGCACACTTGTACAGTCGTTTCTCTTGCTCGTTTTACGGGTCGCATTGCATCAAGGGAAGTCTTCGCCAGGGAAAGAAGAGTAAGGACTGCGTACGAGTCCAGGGGTTAGACAGTCGAGATAAAGCACACTAGGTGATGACTTACACCTTGTGCTTAATTCTCCCACCATACAGTTTCGTGCAAGATGGAACCAACAATTTCAACCAAATATTTTATTTTTTTGTTTATTTGTTGCAAAATTCACCCTTGAAAAGGGCATTCTAGGGAAACAATCCCCAAACTTATCCATACATTTATTATATATACAAAATACCATATACGATAATTAACAAACTAAAAACACCAAAATACTGTATTAAAATATAGACATAAACCAAATTACAGTACAAACTACGTATTAGGGATGGGTGTCTGTCCAGGGGGAAGAGGAGGCTGTGCGGGAGGCAAGATGTGTCCACCCTTCCTGGACAAAAGTGTGATTTCGTCCTTCAAAGCATCGATTTCCTGGGCTTGTAACTGGACGAGCTGAATTAGTCGCTGTCTCTCGCGTAGGTCGGCTTTACGAGCGCCGGTGAATTCAGTACCCTGGAATCAAATAATTGATGAATTAATATAACCCGGTATTGCACAAGGCCCGGTAATAACAACACCYCGACATAACCTCGTATTACGATAAATGAGAAATAAATTCCTGATAAAAAGAGAAAGTGAAGATCTTTTAAATGATAAACCTACCAAAGATTTTTGTCTCGAATCAAGCATTTGCTCGAGTTCTTTCTTTTCTTGCAGTAGAATCGTGAATGTGTCCAGTCGTTGAGTGTTTTCACGGGTTAACTGCGTCGTTTTTTCCTTGTAAGAATCGATCTTTACCTGTGCATGTTGACRTTAATGTTAGGATTGGATTAGGCACCAACTAACATAGGGTACAAAAGAAACACTGGTCACATGGTCTTTTTCCGTACCTATGACATCATTTGTTGGCGAAATGCATCATGGTATTGCAAAAAAAAAGAAATCAAGATGGCGGATGTCTCACAAAAACTATGGAAGTCGGAATTCCTTTACAAAATTAACGCTATCCATCATCGGATATGTGTCATTTACATTAGAGTTTCATAGAAGAATTCTCTGTAAAATGAGTAATGCTTGTTGTTCGCCAAAAAAAAGCCTGAAATCGAAACATCACAACATGGCTCACTTTCGTCAATCCCATGGTGCATCGCGTCATTAGGGGATTAAGGACCAATGGCTTACATTTCTTGATTGACCTATTCCAAGTATGGTTATACTTACATCCCATTTCGCGATATCTCGTGCGCTTTTGATTTCCTGCTGTCTCAGTTTTTCCTTGAGTTCTTCCACTGTTCTGCTAACTGTGACYTTCTCGAGTTTCTCTAAATCGACCAGTCGACCGAACTTTAGCATCATCATGTTCTGGACTTTTTCTTCTAATTCACCGATCTGTGARGAAAAAATTGACACGATATGAAATTTTCCTTTTATTTTCACTTTTAAGTTGTTTTTGTATCTTTACTGATAGCGAACACTGATAAATGGAAATAAAAAAAACTGACACTATGCGACCACCCCTGACATACAACCACCCCAATATGTAACCACACAAAACCTCTATATATCGACCACCTCAGGAAAAAAACAACAAACAAACGACCGCAAMAAACTGCGATTCTTACCCGTGATTCCATGACCTTCTTGTCGCGAATGAGCTGAACGTGTTTCTGTCGGTGCTCGCGGTAAAGTCGCTTTTGTTCGTGTTTTTCTTTCTCTAGTTCTTTGATTCGGTACTGAAGATGATTCAAGCCAGGCGCRTTGAAGATCAAAGACTGTGACAAGTCCTGCGGAATGGCGTTGTTGACCATGTGTTGTATTTGACTCAGTCTTAAAATCACAACCACGTCAAGYTCGTTGAGTTTCTGTTGCTTTTCACGCTGTGTTAAAGAAATATGAAATTATTCACTATCTGACTGGTGGAGATTCATTTACATAAAAGAGAAGAATTCCTCTATACGAACATAGYTTCTGGTTTATTAATTTTACGGTTCAAGTTCATACCTGGAAGGCCTCGAGATCAGCTTCAGCAGTATTCAAAGCAGAGTCTATAATCTTTGCCTTCTTGACAAGCGCATCGTACTCCTTCTTGAGCGTCTCGCTCGCTTTTTTCTCATCAGTTAACAACTCCTCCAAGTCTAATTTCTTTTCACGCAGCTGACAGATTTGATCAAATAAAGCCTGGTCACAGCCGGGTGGACATACGCTGTCGTCCAATTCCTCAGCATCACTGTCTTCTTCATCACTCGATGAYAAGTCTTCGTCGCTGTCCTCTTCGTCACTGTCTTCCTCTGAGCCTTCTTCAGTCTRCAARGAAATTATTCATATAGCAAAGAACGGTYTATGACAAAATATCAGGCAAAATATGATCACACCGTACCTGTGGTTTCTTTTTAGCTCTYTTAATCTTCTTTTTGAAAACTTTTGTCAAGAAGTTCTCAAACTTATTGTTCTCTCCCAAGGCTGTTGAGAAAGTCGTGTATAGAGCCTTTTCCTGCTCGAGAAGTTTATCGATTTGTTGTTTCTTTGATTCTAATGTCATCTGACAATCCTCAACCTTGGACAAAAGACATTTGCTATTATTTGTGCAATGATAACATATTTATCTCTATAGTCATTTATCTATATATCCACCCATTCAAATAAATGATTAAATCAATCAATCAATCAATAATTAAATTAATCAATCAATCGATCATTATCTGAATGTCAATATTATCACCTTATCTTGCATCTCCTCTTTCTCGTTGATTTTAGTATTAACTTTGTTGGCATATACATTTTCACGTTTCTCGAACTCTTTCAATAGCATAAACTCCTCAAACAGCGTCACTTGTCKGAGGTCAGCGCACTTCAGCGCAATCTCAAGGTGWGCTTTATCGTGCCTTAAAGTGCGCAAATCTGCATCAAACTTTTCCATCATCGACTTGATGCCATCGATGAGTAGGTCTTGATCATATTGCAACCTTTTAAGAAATGAGCGATTAGATTAGACAATGTACAGTTAGATATGAAACGGCTATTTCGGCAACTTTTCTTCTCTTTTATTAAATCATGTTTTATCAATGAAGATAATTTATYACTATAACCATTAATATCTACAAATAAAACTTACTTGATTTGTTCTTCTTCAAGCATCAACTGCTCGAGAGGGCTCGGTTCCTCGGGAACCTCTTCAAGGGAGGGCTCTGGTGTACCTTTTTCTGTCACCCCACTTAAACTGGACTTGGGTCTACCAGAAGAGTGGAAGGACACAGAAGAGATGGAGCGGTCACGTGCTCCAGGCTTTCCTACMCCTGGTTTAGTTGACTGGAAACAAGGAAAATGAGTGTAAGTGACAACAATAAGGTTTTGATTACACGAAAAACGTTTTCCTGGTGAGAATGATCATTCCAATCGAATTTGCATTTCATAAACAAATGGGCAATAAGTAAAGCCACAACTTACAACATTACATTGTCCTATTCGAATTACATTTTCCTTTAAAAATTTTAAATAGTTATCTCATACCTCGGCAGCACCACCGCCACCACCAAATCCACCAAAMCCGCCGAAGCCTCCTCCTTCATCATGGCCGCCACTTGACTTGGTCGTGTCACTCAGTTGCTTTTTAAATTCAAGAAGGCGCTCACGTGTGTACTCAAGGCGTCTGAAATAAAAAAAGGTTAGTTTAAATTGTGATGTCAATCTCTCAAACTACTCTAGATAATTCTATTATTATTTCGATAAACTTTTACAAATAGTTTTGGCCCTCCTTGTCGCCCCATTAAAGAAAGGGTCARTTCTGAAGGAAAGACAAGATATCGTCGAAAACGATTTTCTAAATGCGTGCATGTGTAATGTTAATAAAACTAATTATCATATGACCCGTATTTCGGCCCTACGCGCGCTCTAACTGAAACCTTTGTAAAATGCTCACGCGATGTGGTCCGTACGCCTTTTCGCGACTGGTCCGTACAAACCCGTATTTTCCCGGCTTGAAGTTCCGCGCGCTTTTATTTATTTTTTTACATTAAAAAACGCTGTTATATGATAAAATGCTTATTGACTGAGTTAGGTCGGGCCATACGGGAAAATATTTGGCTCTCGGTCATTTGTACGGACCTCGCTGCGCTCGGTCCGTACGGCATAACCTCGAGCCAAATATTTTCCCCTACGGCCCTCCCACTCAGTCAATAAGTACATATTATTGACTGAAAAAAAATCGTATTTATTATGCACATATTAGTTATGTTATACACTAGCCATGTGTTATCCTGATTTTCAGTCAGGGCCTGGGTCATGGAGCAAGAAGTGTAGGCACCAGGCTCTAGTGTGAAGGTCCGCGCCTATCAAAGTGGCGTGAATTCTTGCGCGCTGATTGGCTGATTGGGGATTGTCAACAACAAGACAACTGACACCATCACATTTCGCGCGCGCGTTCATTTGAAAGAAAATAATGATTTATACTTATATTTATACTTATACATTTTTTTTGGTATAGAGAATTTTCATTCACAGCTTATCTGTTAACGCAGCGAACAAAACAACAGAGCTGATTTAACGACCTTCTCAATTTCAACATGATTTATACAAACTTCTTAAATATATTGGGTAAAATACAAATTGGAAACTGTTTTTTTTTTATGTCTTGACGTCAAAGAATATGCACAACTTCACAGCGAGCCGACTCGCGGCGTGGGATCACTGCAAAGGCAAAGCTTTGAACATTTCATGACGTCAAGAGGACATAAAACTCAAAACCGTTCARCAAACAACTCTCGCCGAATTTCAAATTTCTCTTCACTCATCATATATGAGGCATAATATAGTTGTATCGAGAAGATCGAATTCTTTTAATAATGTTATTTTCGTAGGTCTTATATTTGTGAGAATAAAATGAGCGGTGGGCTGTCTGTGACTGAAGGTTAGAATCAAACACAGGTAGCCCAAGCACTACACTTGTCGGCTTTTCTCTGAAGTCCTTGTGGGGAAAAACGAAAAATTCAATAAAAGTAGGAAATCTTCATAAAATGAATTCAAACTCAAACAATATGTTTTTCTTAATTTATTACAATAATAACTATTTATTATCTAGGGGACCAACATCAAGAAAAAAAGCAGTTTTTTGACTGCAGAGAGCTGAAACTTCGCATAGATGTGTAATAAATTTTTGAATTCATTTTATGAAGATTTCCTACTTTTATTGAATTTTTCGTTTTTCCCCACAAGACCTTCAGAGAAAAGCCGACATGTGTAGTGCTTGGGCTACCTGTGAAAACCTTTGCACGTGCAAGTCATTTTGACAGTGTGCGGCGCACGCTTTCAGTTCACTTTCAAACGGTAGGAGCGCGCGGCTTGTTATCGATTGTCTACGTTAGTAACGTCTGTTTGTTACGCACAAAGACAAAACCAAGAAAACAATAAAGGTAAGAATGGAGACTCCTGTCAACGAAAAACGATTTGAAAACGCGGAGAAAGAGTATCAAGCATCGGTAGAAAAGGTAACCGACGATAACGAGAAGTCAACCAGCGTTCACAAAGCCGCTCAAATAGCCGCGTTCAAGCTTCGAGCAGAGAAGTCCTTTCTGCAAAAGAAACAAGAAGCAATGAAACGCTGGATGGATAAACATCGCGAAGAAAGCACAAAAACCATCATCAAAGTGTGCAATACAGCCAAGGTCATCGTAGAACGCATGGCGAAAGAGAAGGAAAAAGAAATGCAAGAAATGATCGCCGAGATGGATAAAGCACACCAGGAAGAACTGAATCAAATAAGAATCGAGACCCGGCGAGAAGCGCTACGCGATTTCTTGAAAATTAACGCAAAATTCAACCATGAACAAAAGGAGGAAGATCGTAAAAAGAGCACTAACAAAACTGACACAAGAACCCTACACAGTTTGCCGTCAAAGCCAGCTCAAACTGAAGAGCCCGCACCTTTCAACAAAGTTTTGCAGATAAGTCTTGAAGATGTCCTRGCTAACAAAAGAAAAGGTAATACTACGACCGAGAAAAAGGCATTGTGTGAGACAACAACAGCAAAAGAAACATCAACAAAGCCACAGCACAACAAAGATCTTCCGCACAACAAGGCTTCACAAATCAATCCTCATGACACATCAGCCAAGAAAGCTAAAGTAGATGACGCCRCAGAGAGACAGCCATCTTGCGAGACACAAACAATAGTGTCCCCAGCAAAGTCAATGCAAAGGGAAGTTCTGGCGTACATACCACACGAAATTCCCACAAAGAAAGCAAAGCTTGATTACATGACTGAGAAACAACCATTCTGTGAAGTAGAGATGTGCGCCATTCGAAGTCTAAACCAACCCAGGTCAAAACAAGTGATAATAGAGTTGGCTAAGAAGCCCCGACATGATGTAATGCGTATTTTGGAGAAAGAACGACGCAAAGCTCTTATGACAGAAGGACAATCTTCCGAGAAACGCGGTCAACTGAAAGAAAACGCTGTCTGCTCAAAGCACAATTCTTCGGATGTCGCTAACAGATCTTCAATCAGCGAGGAGAGTTATTACTCTCTAAGTGTAGAAAATGAAAAATTATTTACGTGTAACGCATGCGGGAGGACTGATACCGAAATGCTGATGTGTGGTGGTTGCTATAACAACTACTATTGTGACGAATTGTGCCAGACACGTGATTGGCAGATGCATCAACAGTGGTGCACTGTGGACGTCGAGTAGACTATCATTTATCAAACAGTTATGTATAATAATGGTTTAATTAAAAGAAATTGGTTAATCTTTATAGTAATATTACTCACTTTTCCGGCTGTTCATCCGGCTTCATTTCAGGAACTTTTGGAATAGGGCGTCTGGCGTAGGAATCCATCTTTTTTTGGATCTCCAGGATTTTGCCTGTGCTGTCTTTTGCCTACAACAACCATTYATAGATATGATRCTTAAAATKAACTCTTTCATGTCACTATGTATTTTTGTGAAGAATCAAAATGCAAGCAATGAAACAATAGATAAGGACTTCACAATCAAATAGGTGTAAGTAGTGATGATGATGATGATGGTGATTATAGTCATGATGCCAATAACATGATACGTTATTGTAGCAATGATGATGTTRATGATCTACGTTCCTAACCTGTTTWATGATTGCGATCTTCTTGTTTCTAAGACTCAGGAATTTCTGATTGAAGTCAAACTTGTACTGGTGAATCTAATAAGGAATGTGAATTCATCGTGTTAAAAAAGCAAATGAAGAAGACAAAGTTTATTCTTGTGAATGAAAAATGGCTACCAACAAACAAACAAAAATGAACCAACGCCCATTTGTGAAAAGAACCGTTCAACGAATACCTAACAAACATACAACGAACACCTAACGAACATCTCACGAACATGCAACGAACATCTCACGAACATCTCACGAACATCTCACAAACACCACACGAACATCTCACGAACAGAAAATTCACCCCCCAAATATAAACCAACCTGATCAAGTAGTTTCAGCAATTGTAATCTCTTCTTGTCAGCGTTGACCCGTTGGCTCTCGGGTACTACATAATCTTTGGCCGTTTTAAGTTTGTAATCRCCCATGTTTTCCTTAGCTTCCTTGATGGCGGCCTTGTCTTTTGGATCTTCGTAGTTCTCGTCTGGCTTGTTACGGTTAAGTTCATCCCACTGAGTCAAGAGAACAATATAACGTTCAATGGAGGCAATGACAAYAACAGCAGTTKGCAGTGCCTCAGCTGTCAATCATTTTATCATCCAATCATCACGTCTGCTCGCTCGCCTCTTTTCATATGATTGAAAACTCAAAAATATCCACCTAAAGTTAAGGACATCGATACAAAATGTCTACGTAGTGATAGATTTGAATGTATGCATTGACAATTATTACATTGAATGATAGGCAATAAAGTGCTAAAGAAACTGCAAACCTGAGCTTGACGGTTCAATCTTTTCATCCGWCGWGCTTCTGCTTTTTCTAAAGCTTTAGCAACTTTCCCGCCGAGTTGACTTTGTGCTTGCGTCTGCTGCTGCGGTTGTTGYTGTGCTTGCTGTGCAGGAATCTTATCCTGAGTACTTTGACGTCGTAACTGTCTTCCTCCTACGATGGATTTTCGTGGCCCACTCTCCGGACCCTCGCTTGTTTTGTTGTTTTCCTTTTCCTCTCGTTGAAGCAACTCGAGATAATCAGGTTTTGAGGCGCGAAATGTTGACACAAGATGGTCCGAGTTGAAGGCTCTTAGAACAATCCTTTCGCACTCTATCTCRTCCTTGAATCTGGTCGTGAGAGAGGATKACAGTTTCATTCATTATTTCAGTCGTTTTCAWTATTATACATTTGAGAAAAATGAATATATCTAATTAACATTGCAACGAGTTTCCGTACCTCTTTTTCATCTTGCTGAGACCAATGGAATGTTTTTCTGTTTCCCATGCTAATTCTTTATGRACAAGATCAATCTACAGTAGAACAATGTGAGCAGTGAGTTAATATTGTGTCTTCCATGAGCTACCAATGACAGAGGACTAATTGTATTTTTTCCTACTAATAACTAATAAAAAAAGAAAGTCATATTGATAACAAGACAGCCAGCGAAAGAGGTTAAGAATAGAAGATACGAACCTTATCTTGGGTCTTRTCTTTAAGGTCTTTCTTCATATTAGGGTCAATAATAAACTCCTGCCAAGAAATTTATCAATTGTAATCCGTCAATGTACGATCATCATTATAGCAATAGTTCGCGTAAATGTCCTAAAGGTGGAGGGGAGGGGAAATGCTTCACATATTAACRTTAGTGATAGTGTAATGTTTAATACTCTCCTTACCTCGGACTTAAGCTGCACATGATCAGGAAGTTCTTGGTTTCTGTTCATCAATTGCTTAAAGGCTTTTCTAAGATTAGTAATCTTACGTCGAACATTCTGTTTCTTCTCCTCGGCAAGTTTCACCATTCKGTCGTGTTCTGCTTTCTGTTTTTCAAGTTCAATACTACAACGAACACAGTTAAGGTTTTTAGCATAAAAATCTCTCACAAAACAAATGGATGGAGATTTCTATTATAATGAATGTGCTATTCTTCTGGAATACTCCTATTTTAAAGGTACTCACGTATAATGGGCGTGTCCATATCATAGTGACATAGATTTATGAGAATGTGTTTCGGCTCACCTGTAGAAATTAGGATCATCAATATCATCCACTTTGTCTTTAATTTCTTGACCATCTTCTCCAATACGTTTCTATGAGACGGAAAAAAAGTCAAAAGAAAATATAACGAAGGTATAGCGAGCACCTAACGAAGGTATAGCGAACACCTAACGAACATATAACAAACATAACAAATGTATAGCGAGCACCTAACGAACATATAACAAAGTTATAGCGAACACCTAACGAACATATAACGAACACCTTACGACGGTATAGCGAGCACCTAACGAACATTCATTCCATTTGATGGCATTCCAAAGCATACCTTAGGAGAAGGCAGTGAAATTTTATGCGGTATCTTGATTCCCTTAACAGCTTCATCCATGAACTTGTGCACAAAGAAATTCCCATCAGCACCCGAGGTAAAGACGTACTTATCATCAAAACTAGTGATGATCTTGGTTATAGCGCCATTATGGTTGTCATGGATACTAAACGACCAATAGGATTGGAGATGCTCCAGATCAGTGCCATCYTCTAGAGGGTGGATRCGAATGATKCCATCTTCCATGCCAAACAGAAGGAACTTCTTGGAATGTCTGGAGGTTCAAAAAGACAAATATAAGTGAGTCGTGATGGGCTTGTGATCGCTTAGTTGGACTTTGGGTCTACAGGCTTGGGTTGAATTCGCAGACTGAATAGACCCGTGACACACTTATCCACAACCATCCAACGACATCTAGATGGCCATAAAGGTCCAACACGGCACATCGCACAGAAATTAAAGGAAATATTTWTTGATATTTGACAGGAAGCCATCAAGAAAAGTTGACAAACGTTAATAGTTTATATCAGTTTTATTGATCCCTTTGTTATCAGCACTTGATAGCTATTTAGTTAAACCAGGAAGAGAAAAAATGTAAAAGAGAAATGACAAAGACGATTGTAAAGGAGAGTGAACTTACGTTGTGTAAACGGATCTWATCGGTGCATCATTGCTGTTGTCRACAGGAATACTACGYACTGGTTCTTCACCCTTTTCKTCTCCTTCTGWTGGTTTTTCAGAAAACTCACATTCGTATAGATACCCTGCATCCCAGCCATCCTGAGGAACGTTATTATTGTCATCATCATCATTTTGCATCATAATCACATGAAAGCAGATTTTAATATTATTTAAAGAATCTAAAAGTTCTACTCACCATTGATAAGAAGAATTTGTCATTTTTGTTGTGATAGAAACCCTTGATGATCTCACTTGGTCCGTGATCCTGTACTTCTTCGACCTGTTCTTCCTCCTCCTCTTCTTCTTCTTCCTCCTCCTCTTCTTCCTCTTCTAAACCTCTTTCCCGTCTTCTAGCTCTCTCTGCTTCCTTTTTCTTTCGCTTTGCTTCTTTTTCTTTGGCTTTGATTGCATCTGCTTCAGCTTTCTATAAACATGAAGTTACACCTTGTTACACCCTTCTTTTACCATTTTCCATTTGCTTTTATTTCTTTTATTCTTTCTCTCTTGCTTCCTATCTTTCTTTCTGTATTTTTTCCCTTCTTCTGACCTTCTTTACATTCCTTCCTATCTTCCTACGATATCTCTCTTTCTTTTTTTTCAATGCATTTTCCCCATTCCAATCACACCCATCGATCACCATTCTCTTTCTAGGGCCGTCTTTGATTACTACAAGATACTATWTTCTTACCCTTAGCTTGTCTTTTACTCTCTTAAAGAAGAATTCAGTGATTTTCAAGTTCTTTAGCGGCAGGTGGAAAGTTTTACTTGTGTCATGTTCTCCTGGCTGAGGTGCTTCCACYTCCAAGACAGTCCCATCTTTACAGCTTACTAAGACRCTTCTCTCTTTCTGTATTTTATGAAACAAACAAACAGTTATCATTYKTGTTGGAGCTGTATTCTAGRAAAGCATGACCTCTGATCAACCATTGGCTGATRAAACAACACAGGCACTGATGCTGTGAACTTTAAAAAAGAACACTGCCTGGTTTTATTAGACATTTTACAGCTTTTAGTTTGATATATTATATATCTTACCTTCCCCTTGTTTGACCATTCAATAGATACGACAGGAGAAGCAGTTTCAACAAAGCCAATGGGTTTATAAGTATCACCAATTGTGAAGAAGAACACTGTGCAATCAGAGCTCTGAAGAACAAAGATAGTTATATCAAAGAACAATGCAACATTTGATGCAACAAAGTTAAAAGTATTTTCATAGGTGATTTTGTTTCAACCCTATAATTGTACAATTAACAATATTAGACTTACCCCAGTGGCTAATAACTCTCCTTTATCATCAATAGTCATGACAGTGACAGGTTTTGTATGTGGCTTGAAGACTTGGGTTAGATTAAGCTCAAAGTCAGATTTAGACTTCTTGGAACGAACTTGYGAAAGGTCAACTTTATTGAGAGTAAGAAGACGCACCACACCATCTTCAAAACCAGCTAAGATGCAGGTACCTTTRGTACTGACCTAWGAGGATYAATTTGTTTRTTAATTATACCAACTTCATGGTCATAACCAGTTGCCTGCTGTATGAARGGTGGATAGAGTTATCCACTACTTAGATTTTGTATGGACTTTATTCTCTGAATAAGGATTTATACAGTAGATAGCACTATTAAACCTTCTTAGAACTGGCCCAGCATCATATTTTAATAATTAAAAAGCAATTTTTTGTACTTACAATTTTTGGAACCCAGAGCARKGTAGAACTGCCTGAATTAAACTTAGAATGGCAGATCTGCTTCTTTGCCAGGTAGTCGTACACACGAACCGTATCTGGACATCAACCATGGGAAAAATGGCATTAGAAAAAAAATGGGAAAGAATAGAACTAGAAAAACTAGGTGTCTTAACATTACAGAAAAGAGGGTTAGGAAAAAACATTATGAGTCGAGACTAATGTTTAATCTGAACTTACGATCTTCTCCTGAAGTAGCAACAAAGTGTGCAACAGGTGAAGTGTCTAATCCTGTTATACGACCAGCATGAAAGGAAAACATGCGTTCTGGAGCATGGCTCTACAAAAATAATACAATAWTCCCTRAMTTTMACTCAAGCCTTCATAAGAAGTAACAAATGCAAAGTAACAATCAATGTGCTTACGGTGTGAGTGAACGATAAGTCCAGCTTCCAAATACCGCCTCCAGCATCCTGCAATACAAAATAGTAGATTGTACCATGAAATACTGGCCACAAAGAGGTCAATTTAAAAACAAATTGTTCAGTATATGAGGATAACTTGAATAATATGGCAAATAATCAGTTTACAAGTGACTTACCTGAGCATACCAAATTGGAGCCTCACTATTGACTGCCTTTTGCATAGACATTAGTTTAACATCAGTACCAACCTAAACAAAAATAAACAAATACAATGAGATGGATGAATAGTGAAATAGATGATATTTCATTGAATTTCAGTGATAAAACTATGAAGTCAAGGAAAGTCAACAAGTCACGGTTACACAGAGCAGTACATTTACAGATGAATAGAATGGAGGAGTCGAGTGCATGAATCAATTGGGAATGATTAAAAAAATATATTATATATAACAATGTAATCATCCTCACCTTTAGCTCATACATGGGATCGACCTCAAACAATGCACCCTGATCATCAGTATCAGCATTGTCAATACTTTCAAAATCCCAAACCTTTTAAGATAATGAAATTCAGAGTGAGAAAATCAGTCTATAGCTTTATACAATGAAAGAATTAGCCAAACAGGGCACACTTCACAACGATTGTTACCTTGACAAATCCGTCAACACCAATAGTCATCAATTCTCCTTCATCCATGAAGAACTGCTGAATCATTCCATGATGACATGTCTTTTTGCCTTTCTTAGATATCTCCACCTTGATTAAACCACCCTCCCACAGTAACATGTTACCCCAGTCTGACCCTGATAGTACTTTACCATCTGGCAACTCCACAAAACCTGGAAAAAAATGGAAAATGAATAAAATGAATGATATTTTAGTAGTACTTACACAGGGTACAAGTAATAACCCATGCCATGTAAAGTACATGTCAAAAACTTCCAATATAAATTTAAGATTTAATTATTATATTTCCAAGAGCAACAGTCCCAGTTCATGTTCTGACAGAAGCATCAATGATTTAGTGACAATACTGTACCTTCAATGTCTGAAATTTCTTTTGCCCCAAATTTTCCAATCATTCCCTGTAATTTAAGTCCAGTAAATGTGTTTGCCATTGTCCAGAACCTGGTGAAAACAACACAGTCATGATACWATAGAAAAAACAAGACAATTCAGTTAGGAGAGAAGAACTTAGATAACATGTAACAATCAATGCCAAGAACTCTCTTTCAACAATCGWACCTGATGTGTCCAGATCCACTGGTGTTGACGTGTCCTTCATTGTCAGCAGAGAAGGCAACTTTGTAAATATCCTGAGAAAATGCYTTRTATCTTAACAGAATTTTCTCATTCTTCCAATCCCACACTGTCAGCATGAAATCAGGAGCACAACCAACAGAAGCAAGTTTAGTTCCATCGGGAGAAAAGTCAAGGTTGGAGTAAGCTTCTTCTGTTCCATCTCGTAAGATTCTGTGAAGTTTGAGTGAAGGATACTCAAATATGTTGATATTTGGTTTGATTCCTTTCTCAGCAACTGCAAAATACTTTCTGCTTGGGTGGATCTATGGAAGATTAACATAATGATGAATATATTTGTTTAGAATAACATTATAATGCATAGCTTCAAAGGAGATATATACTTCAGACCAAAAATTGGTTATTATTGTTCAGTCAAGTTGTAAGGAGAAAGAAGCAGAGTGGCTAAGGCATCTAGCATGTTATGACCACTACAACTCTTGACTCTTGTTCAAGTGGTTTGCATCCTGGCCAGTTTGGAGTTTTAAGGTATAATTGAATGGGGTTGAGGACCTGGTGCTTAGAAGAGACCTTATGGGAAGTGATGGTTGTAAAATGCTTTATCATTATCAATTGTACAAGTTGCAATTATCATATTACACATTATGCAATATTATTGTAACAGTATTAAACAGTACTTACTGCTATTGCCCCAATACCACCACCTCCCGTAGTCCTGAAATAGGTCTGCTCTTGAGTTTTGATGTTAAGTAACTGTCCCATGTTGCCAGCAGAAAATAGAATAGTTTCCTCATCCATAACATGAAGGTTTTCTCTTTTTGTACACTCAAACCCAAACGAATGGCTGGAGTTTACTRAGTTAAGGAATACAGTGACATTGATCCTGCTCAAAGTTGAACAAATAAAAGTGTATCAAGTTCTTCATTTGGTATGAGTTGCCCACTGYATACATTTTCTACAAATGTTTTTTTATTCAGTGCACAGGCCTATTCACCCTTTGTAAGAGATTGCTTATGCTTGATACCAGAGGCTTGGCATAAAAACAAACTGATTAAAGAAAATATCTCGCCCCTCTGTGGCTCAACAACATAGTAAGCCGATAGGAATAAAAGACAAGCCTCTGGAACCAGGGTAAGCAACAGATTAAAGTTAAATCTTTGATACATGTAGACAGATAGGTTTACGTACTGTATTCAATACCATGGACATGAAACATTTCAAATGGTTTAAAATCAAGGGTAGAGTTAACAATGGGAGAATACAGTAAGTAAAAGCACTTCATTGTACTATTCCTTTTTTTTGACTTGTTTTCTAATCAATCATGTGCTGAGAAAGGCCATAGTTTGAATATTCTATAAGGATAAATGAACTAACTAGGAAAACTAGGGTGATATGCAGCCAATGATGTAGTTTATCAAGGATACTGTAAAGTCAAAAGACTATTAGGAATTCCTTCTGAAGAGTATGGCTTAGAAACAATCTCTTCATAGTCATAGAAAAAATCATCAGCTAGTACTGTTTCTTCTTCTTCCCCATCAACTAAAATGAGTCAAAGATCAAAAATTATTAAAACGAATATAAATTATATAAAAAAGGAAGAAATAAAGGAAACAATATAAAAATCAATATTAATCACTATACAGTGGAACCTTGTTAATTCAGCCACTGAAGTGTCATTGAAAAGTGGCCAAATTATCGGGCTTATYGCCTTTTTAACTGGGCAACAACRTATGAGTGTTTAACTGGCTGTTATATTGAAGTGTCCTAACTAAGCGAGTGGGTTGTTAGGCAGAGTTCCACTATATATAATATAATTAAGGGAGAAATAATTGTGTTACCTTGGCCTTCAGGTGCACCTTCTTGTAATGCATCTTCTCCGYTTTGTTGCTCTTTATCTACTTCTGGAGGTGCCTCTCCTTCTTCTTGCACAGTTTCTTTTGATTCACTCTTCTTTTCACCATCCTTTTCTTCTCCAATTTTATCATCTTTACTTGATTCTTTGGTTGTTTCAGATTCTTTTTTATCTGTTTTATCTATATCCTTGCTTTCTGCACTGGAATCAATTTTTTCTTTGCTGGATTTTTCATCAACATTAGGTTCTTGTTTATCATTTGAAACAGGGATATTGCTATCAGCCTGAGACAACTCCTTTTTTTCTTGAGAGGACTTTACTGTATCATCTTCTTTATTACTGTTTTCTGTGGCTGGGATATTTCCTTTGGCTTCATCTTTTCCTTGAGTTGTTTCACTATTACCTTGTGCATCCTTTGTAGCTTCATCAGACTTTACTTTGTCCTCAGAGATGCCATCTTTATCCTCCTGTTTTTCAATAGATTTGTGATCAGTACTACTTATACTATTATTTTCATTATCTGACTTTACATTGCTATTTTCTCCTATATCTGTAGCAACAGAAGAATCATTATTGTGTTTGCTTTCGGTTTGTCCTTCAACTATTTCATTTAAAGGTGGGGAAATCTCATCACTTTGTTCTTTATCATCTTCAGGTTTAGAAGAATCACTTGGCTTGGGTTCTGTTGAAGTAGCTTGAGTACTGGCAACATCTGCTTTATCTTCATTTGAACTTTCTTTGGTARCTTTAGTCCYATCTTGTCCACTTTCTATTGTCTTTTCATCTTGTTCATTTTGTGCTTTGCTTTCAGCTGATTCTGTTTCCTTCAAATCATCATCTTGCTTAATTTCTCTTTCTATTCCATTACTCTCACTTTCTTTTTCTTTTCCACTTTTTCCACCTTCTTCCATTCTATCTTGTCCAGTTTCTTTTACTGTTTCATCTTTAACGTTATCTTTTGCCTCTTGATCTTCTTCATTTTCCTGTGAATTAGACTTTGCTGATTCTTGCTCTWTAGATGAGCTAGAAATCTTTTCCTCTGGAATCTCCGTTGTTTCAGAAATTATCTTTGACTTATCAGTTGCGGATTGTTCTGCTGATGGTGSAGACCCTATATCATCAACATTTGAGCGGGCACTATMATCAGGTCCAGTATCATKCCTATCARTTTYACCAGKACCAGTAGTATCAGCAATTYCATTGTCAGTCCCATGTTCGCTTTCTGGCTTTTTGTTTATATYAGGAGCAGATCCTGCGTTTTCCGGTCCTTCTTCTTCTTTAGTTACATCTTGTTGTTCAGTAGATGGCTCACTTATTCTCTTGCCTGAGCTATCTTCATCATCTGCCTGAATTTGCTGAACTCCATCATTTGTAGAAACAACTTGATCATCCCGAACATTTTCGTCTTCTTTGCTTGGTTGTCCTTCGTCATGTTTCTTCAATTCACTTGATGCGTCACTATGATTTTTAACTTGTTCAGCTGTACTATTTTCAGCAGACACATTAGTTTCTTCTGCGTTTATTGGGACTGACTTTTGCCCATCTTCCGATGAAGTGGGAACATCGGTTGTTTCTCCTGTATCATTGTTGCCCTCTTCCTTTGATTTTTCTTCGTCATACTCAGCATCTTCGAGTTTGAGCCTTCTCAAAGCTTCAGCTTTAAGTTTATTTGTTACACCTTTCAGGTTTTGCTTGTTGTTTTCGCTGGAATCGGGCTTTGAATCTTCCTCATTGCCCGACATTTTGAAACATTACTTGTACTGTTCGAGTATTGGTTGCTATGGTAATTCTTATTTACCGCCATTTACCGCTGGCCATCATGATTAAAATCAACCCGTTTACTTCATATGATTTCGATGCGAAAAATATCTTTCTTTTAATTGTCGTAACAACTTTTATTTATTCTAAACAATCAATTTAAGCATGCAGTTTAATAAAATTTCTTTTTCCTTGAATGAAGTTAACATTAACACTTGATTTTTCGTGACAATCAAAAACTGGCTTTTTTCAGTTTCAATCCTTTTTCCATCTCAAGTTGTAGTGAAATCTATTTCATTCGTACGAAAAAGTAGAAATGGACGAATAACTCTTTGAAATAAGGTAGCTGACCAATATTAATATTCATCATAAACGCAGTCATCCCTTTTTTGGAAAGACTCAGTAGGAATTTTTTTAATGGCTCATATTCCAAATAATCTTTTCTTGGCCATACAAACATGATTTTCAAAAGCGGTTTTCATCTTTTTTATGTATGGAGTTTGTAAATAATAACTTACTTACCATATCAGATGAAATCTCTTCCGGGTGAAGCGACTGCCGAAGCTTTTCCCTGGAAGTTTCCTGTTTCAGATTATTTATTCATCTTTTTCGACCCAAAGCAACACTAAACCAATCCTCTTGCAGTACATAAGCATACTCGAACTGTCTAACTACTTTTCGTTCCAATAAATAATGAATAAAAGTGTGAATGGAGATTACCGTGTGAGGATCTTCTCAAATTTCAACCAATCGTCTCATAGCAACCGTGCTGACCAGCTGTGTTCGTTCATACGTCACAATGCAGAAAAACCGTGAGGGAGGGGAGGGAAAAACTATGAATRAACAAAAATGGAACTCTTTGTTAAAAAAAGTCGGATTGATAAGGGAGATGTCATCGCTAACCAAATCATATTTGCCGGYATATGAAATCTAAAATACCACGTATTGTAAAATCAGTGAAATTTTAGAGAATAGACTCAATGATTTATAGCATACATGAAAGCATATATGCAAAAAAAA